TTAAGCACTTTTTTTAATTTTTTTGTGCTTTTTAAAAATATTTTCATGCTTTTTTAGGCACTTTTTTTCCATTTTTTTGTGCTTTTTTATCCGGTCTTTATTGATTACCAATCAAATGACACGTCAATCACAGCAGGATTTATGATAATCGTCAATAGATTTTTGTAAACGCGGCATTTGTATGATGTGCGGTCAAGGGCGTAGAAGGAAGCGCGATGCTCGATAACTTTGGCATTTTCAATTTAAGGTAAATATCTAATTGTTGCGTGGCATTTTTTTAAAATGTCATACAGCTAATTTTCAAAATCTACTTGGACCGCATTGATAAACCAAATATGAATAATAGAAGAGTTATTTCCGCAAAAGGCCAATTAATCGTAATTACGATATTATTTTGCTGCGAACAATTTATGTCATTCGCTTAAGTAGGTACTTTTTCAAATCCGAAATCAATAATGAATAAGACTTCATATCAATGTTGACAATAGTGAACTCATACTGGTACAATTTTATTGATTAATTTAAAACTTTCGTTTTTAAAAAAAAACTTTATTTTAAATTAATACAATCGTTAAATATGGATTTTTAATTGTGACCGCACCTAACCATGGACTGACTATCTTTAAGCTCAATTCCTATGCCTTCTGACCAAACATCTAATGACTAAATTCTGCTGTGGATACTTTTATAGTTAAATCATGCTGATCATAGTAGAAACAATACTACGTCTTATTTTAAAATAGTAGTCGGCATAAGTGACCATATAATTGTGCAGAGGCTTTTCTTAAGATATAAATGTAATAATATGTTTGATCAGCTTGAATGTGCCGGACATTCGGTACGTCCACACTAGAAAAATCTGTGTTGGTCACTTTGATTTTAGATTTTATTGACAAGAGGCTGTAAAATGTATCGGATTCGACCAAAAACATTAATAGATAGGCGAATCAGTCATAAATCCAGATTTGTTTGGAAGCAACATTGATTTATACCGATAAGTGATTCATGAATGAAAAAAACTCGCCTGTGCGCTAGCCATAGGCGTCGTTAATATTTATATTAATCGATTTATTCTATAGTAAAAAATACACCAATTCATTTAAAAAACTTAAGTTTCTTCAATATTTCCTGTATTGTATTCTATTTCAAAGAAATGATCGACCCAAATTTATGAACTTGGAAGAATCTGAATTTTTTGTTCTGACAGTTCTTATCGCAAAGCCTATTTTTCCCTTCCTGTATTAATTGCATTATTTTACACTTGGTTTTTGTGGTAGATTTAGATTCCTTGTATTTCACCAGTTTTGATATTCTCGTATTTTTATTCCACTTTAAATGATCACTTGCGTTTTGTTTTTGTTCTCCAATGACTCTTTAGCAGCTTCGTGTACATTTGAGTTGATGTTATTATATATTTATCCAAATGTAAGGTCTTGAAAACTTTATCAGTTGATATCATTGTATTGAACCGTAATGCATCAAGCTATTAAGGTTAAAATTTCTTCTCTCGAGCATCGCTTCGGGGTACGTAAGTACCAACAGATATCAATTTAGACTCATTATATTCATACAATAAAGAAATTATTCTCGCCCGCTCCTGAATTCATATACTCGTCCAAGCATCTGTGTGTTAATGTAGGTCGTATCTCTATATTTTTTAGGTATACACATTTTAAAGTGTTCAGCCATGAAATTTCAAACAATTTCAGTAAAACATCTACTAATAAACGTGCAAAACGCTTTCCAGGATCAAACACTATTTAATATCGTTTCATTGCTAGCCATTTCCACAAACTGACGCTTTAATAAAAAAGAAAATCCATATAAACTGATGGAATGTATTATAAAAATATATCACGCTATATTTTCCAGCAATACGTTATTTGGCACATCATTACTTGTACTGGCCAAGATAAAGCTTTTGAACTTTTCTAAAGTTTCTCTTGTTAGGAATGATAGATTTATTTTATTTTCTCTTGGAAACAATTCAACATGGAATTTGCTTACTAAAACGAAAACATTTCTCGGTTTTCGTAATTTCTTTGCTTTTTTAGTTCGTTTTACGGTCAATTCTCAACAATAAACTAGTTTGAACTACTTTTTATTGTGAGTACTTTCCACCAACTGCAAGACTCTAAATTGCACAGAGACATGATGAATATGAAAAGAAAAAAGTTCAAGTGTACACATCTGAGCCTAATTGGTTGGCAGTACTATGTATCAGGTAATGTATTGAAATATTGACATCGTCGCATTACAAAATCTTTATAACTGGACTAAAATTAATCTACCGGTATTCCTGATTACAAGTCACCGCGTCAAATCTAATTAAATACATGTTGCTTAAATTAATATTGGTTTGTGTGGTAACCTGGCCTTATTACTAGGCTTGATAGAAATGATTGATAGAATAATACATAGACTTTAACTTGGGCTTATGATAAAAGGCGAAATTAACTGTAGCGTAAGTAAATTATTTACAAATATTAGCTGGAACTCATTTGTTATTATATTATACTATTTGCATATTTAAAATGAAACAATTTAGAAACACAGATAAGGCTTTGAAGCAGATATATAAACCGTTTTTTTATATATCTGATTTTTGAAAGACTGTTTCAGCTACGTTTAGCCCTGGAGGCAGGCATGTTACTTTAAAAATATTTTTATTTGCAGGGAAAGGCACGTGCCACATATTATTTAGGGGCCTGTATATACAGGTTGATTACTATATTATTGAAGTCAAAACATGTGCAAAATTATAACTGAATTTTCTCGCTTGCATTCTACAAATTCAATTATAAAATAAGAAAAATAAATTACATTTTTCGCAGCAAACTTTAAACTTAAAAAGTTCCTTGCAGTATAACTATGATTAAAACGAGTTTTATAGTCACAGATTATCATCTGCGTGACATAAGGAGAATTTAAACGGTGTTTTATTACGAGGGTTCTTTTCATAGCTAAACCGGAATTAAATGGACTGTATAATTTCTTCTGTTTAATGGCTAAAGTTTAATTAATGAAATTTAAATTACTGCAGTCAGAAACAAAAGATTTATCCTGCTCAGCTACGTATTCAAGTGATTACTGATACGAAATGAATGAGAAGGAATTTTCGTATTGTAATATCAGTGTTTTATATATAAAAACTGACCCACCTTCAGTATCTTCCACTTTTGAAAATATCCTACAATTTCAGTCAAAACTGCTATTCCAATTATTTGCGCGTTGAAAAGTAGAAATAGAGGATCTTTTTATTTATCTCCAATCAACAGTGAATAACCCATAGTTAACGCAACGATCGTTTTTTCATAATTTACTTCAAGAGACCAATTTTTTCAAAATGTTCAAACCAAAAAGCTCAAAAATACAAAAACTTGTTCATAAGGAAGAAATGTTCTATTTTCACGATAAGACGTGTCTGTCTCTGTATGTCTAACCAAAAACAAATATTTCGTCCGATTTGCAATTCAAATGTAAACCTCATCTTTTTCAACGCGGTTCTATCAACCGCAAATCTAACTAAAAATTAAATAATTTATAAGTGAAAAAATATATGTAATATCAAATTATATCGAA